TGTCAACTCTCTGGAAGCTAGCTTCAGCATAAACAGTAAATTAACCACTTTTCTGGGCTTATTTGCCAGGTAATGTCAACTCTCTGGAAGCTAGCAAAGAAATAAGGTTAGGAGGCCTGGGACAGCAAAACAAGGTAGGTCATTAAGCCCAGTTTTCACGTCTCTTATCACAGTCCAGGCACCACCATCCACCTTGGTCACCTTAGCTAGAAATCTGGTAACAGTCTCACTATTGTCTTTCCTTCTCCCTGCTGCATTCAATCAGTCATTAAGTCCATGAATTCTAGCTACAAAAGATCTCTCCAATGTGTCCTTTCAATCATCTCAACAACCACCATCATGTATTAGGCAAAAAAAAAAAACCGTTGCTGTCAAGTTGATTCCAACTCATCATAGGGACTCTATAGGACACAGTAGAACTGCCCCATAGGGTTTCCAAGGGGCGGCTGGTGGGTTCAAACTGCTGACCTGTTGATTAGCAGTGAAGCTCTTAACCACTGCATCATCAAGGCTCTGTATTAGGCCAGTGGTTAAAAAATGTGGCTAATGGGCCAATCCTACCCACAGATTATTTTGTCTACCATGCATGGTATTTTTTCTTAAATCAGAATATTTGCCACCATTAAAAATTGGGAGATTTCACACAAAAATCCAGATTTCCAGCTTTTCTTGAAAAATCAGAAGATCTGGCAAAACCAGGCTGAAGGTAAGCAGTAGCTACATCCTTTAGACAAGGCAGCTACAGTTCTCACCTTTCCCTGTGCTTCAAGCATTTCATTTGAATTTATAAACCCTGATTTAGATCCTCACCATTCACTTCCTGAACTAATGCAACAGCTTCTTCACTGGGCCTCTGCCTCTAGTCTTTACTCCTTCAGTCCTATTTGATAATGTCAACAGGTAGACTGTATAAATGAAATGTTATCATTTTATTCCCTGCTTAAAATTCTTCAGTAATGCCCCATCATGTACAGGATAGAGTTCAACTCCAACTCCCAATCATAACATGCAATGCTATTCCTGATTTGATCCCTGTATACTTCTTCAGCCTCACCCTATATTCAATCAGAGTGAACTGCTTATAGTTCTCCAAAAATGCCATGTTCTCTCCCACTTCTGTACTTTTAAAAATGCTATGTCCTCAATCTAAAATGTCTTTTCTTTCTTTGTCTAGCTAACTCCTTCCTTCAAGATCA